TTCTCCTCAACACTCCTTTCCCCATTGATTCGCGCCACTTTCCTTTCCATCAGTTGACATTCGAAATCTGCGTTATAAAGGAGCTCCTGAAAATGCGATCACTTCTTTTATTAAACCAATTTACGGTAACAATAATGCGATTAAAATATATTTTCTATTTTGAAAACCATCAGTGAGTACCACAACTCGCAAATCGCGAAAAAAATCGAATAATTTTACGTGATTTTTACAAACGTAAAAGAAATTTAATAATTTCATACTAACACCACATACAACAACTCTAGGAAAAAAATTATACTTATAAAAATCACTCGGAAAAATACAAAACAGCTTCCCGACAGACCTGTTGTCGCTGACGCTCTGCATCAACCTTGGCAATCCTGGCCTTCACATTCTTTATCGCGCTTAACAGTCCCGAAATTTCTCCCATTTTGGTCCGCTCGTTCTCTCGCTCTACCAGCAATCCAAAGGTCCCCGGTTCGATCCCCACCGCCGTCATTTCTCACCTTTATAAAGTTCCTGTTGAGCTTTCAACAATTCCTCTTTTGCCAACTTCAATTGCAACGACAATTCCCCGGCCCTTTCAACCGCTTGGCTGTGCATCCGTTCAGCTTCGATCGCCATTTGCTCCTGAGATAATTTCGTGCCGCAGTGACAGAACTACCAATCATGATGGAGTTTCACAACTACCCGTTTTACGTGAAGTGGCGATATTCGCGGTGATATGCAGTAGTCGTAAAATATGTTTTTCACTAGTGTTTTTCACATCACTAGATAAAACTCAATGCCAATCTCACAGTTTTGGAGGAATATATATTCGCTTTCCTCAGCCGAACTCAGGAGATTCCTCACTAATAATAGGAGTTCATATACTTACTTCGGTAGAAGTGTACAAAAAAACAACAATAATTTCCCAAAATTTCCCCAAAATTTTCATATTGTCACCGACGCATGTAGCTATACATGTGCATATTTTTCCACAATACCAATTCTAATAAAATACATTTTTCACGAACCACTACTAACCACAAAACTCACTTTATCCATCTTCGAATTCTCAACCTCTACTTTCCTCTTCTTTTCCGACTCCAGTCTTTTTTTCATACCAGCAATCTAAACACCAACATCAACGATCATCTGTTTTGTGTAGCCACAAAATCGAGGGAAAAAATTTCCGGAAAAAAACGCAAAAAAAACCAACTTTTTTCTTTTTTTCTTCTATCCGTTCAGTCCACTGCTCGATTTCAGTTTGCTTCTGATTCCGCTCGTCGGTGGCCGCGCCCACTTCTGTTCGCACAATTTCGACCTGAACGTCATACAGAGCTGTCACTAAATCAATGACTTGGAGAAAAAATTAATCTTTAATAAAAAAGTACAAATTTTTTTGTAAAAAAACCCGGAACACATCTAATGCGAAATTCCCCTACTGAGTAAAACCGTAACAATTAAATTTATGTGAAAAACCAACTTTCTCGTAAGTAGCTAAAAAATTCTCATGAGAAATTTTACGCAAAAAATCCAGAAAGTTTATTCAACTCTCAACTGTCAAAAGCTTCCCACACGACGAAATCACCGATAAACAACCCAAAATTTTCCACCATCCTTTTCTAGAATATCAATAAAACAAATTTTTTTCTCA